CTCTACCTGGCCTCAAACCTTCTCAGCCCCGAAACGCTCCGTATTTGACCTACGGCGCAGTTCCAGCGGCACACGCTGGGCGAGGGGAACGCAATCCGAATTCCGGGACCACCGGTCTCAACAGTGGGGCCCGGAGAGATGTCTGCACGCCAGAGGTGTCACTCCCAAATCTGCTCCCCGAGCCTGCAGCTGGTTCCCGGCTTGCATGGCTTTCTTCGCAGGGACTAAACATGTGGGTGGGACGTGGCCAAAGCAACTGGAGAATTTGCTTATGGAAGGGTTGAAAACTCCGGATAGAAAAGAAACCCGTAATCCAGGCAGGAGCACAGCGAAGGCGCTGTCTGTAATTGCAGTTACCTCACGTTAACTAAAGGCAGCGCTCTCTCCTCGGGGATTGACCCCAGTCTCTGCTCCCAGACGTGTTGCTGAGCCCTGAGGGCTGGTGCTGTCTCCCTAGAGCCATCCCGCTCCAAAAATCTGTCCAGCCCTTTTCTTAGGAGTGTCTACAAGCTGCTGGAGCCCAGTCCAAAAACGTTCAGCAATGTAGCGAGGAGCCAAGAAGCCATTTCCTCGTCCTCTCGGGACTTGTCCAGGGGACTCCAGGCTGGCAGGCCCGGCTAGTGTCAACCGCAGCGCCTGACAAAACCCAGGCGCCCACACCACAAGCCGCAAAAGGCGACGGCCCCCGACAACCCCCGGTCATCCCCACAGGGCTCGTGCGCCTGGGCTGGAGCGGGCTGCCAGGGGCGGAGCAGGGAGCTAGGGGCCCTTTAGTGGCTTCCAGGTAGCGCCCAGAGTATGGAGCTCGAGGGGGGAGCGGCTCCTGGGCGCAGGGATCGGATGGAGAATGACTTGCCCCTGCAGGCTGAGTCCTCCGGGCATCTCCAAGCGCGTAGCCCGAGAGGGGAAGGGGCTCGGGAGGAGCAGGGAAAGACAAGGGAGGGAGGGGTGTGAACCGCCGTGGGGACAATGGAAGAGGAGGGCAAGTGGGGAGGGAAAAAGATAAAGCCCAGCGTGGATTGAGACCACAACAGCCAAGGGGTTGGGAGGCTCGAGAAAGAGCGCTCCCCCCACCCCGCGTCGGTCCGTCGCATCTTCCTTTTACCTTAGCGAAGCCCTAAGCTCCCCGCCTACGCCGCCCAACAAGCGGAGCCGGGCTCCTTGGCAAGCCCCCCGCTCCCCTTCCCGCTACGGGGCCTTGCTCGCAGCTCCCAGTGGGAGAGCCCCCGCTGCCACCTCCAGTCCCTAGGCGATCGCCGCTCTCTCTTGCCCCCGGGACACCGGAGCGCCTGCTCCATCCATCTCCCGGGCCGAAGGGGATCAGGGAGACGTTTCCAGCCTTCGCTCCTCTGCCAGCGCCCTCGCTGCGCGTCCCGGGGTGCGGCGAGTGCCCCGACCTCGCTCGCAGCTCCCAGTGGGAGAGCCCCCGCTGCCACCTCCAGTCCCTAGGCGATCGCCGCTCTCTCTTGCCCCCGGGACACCGGAGCGCCTGCTCCATCCATCTCCCGGGCCGAAGGGGATCAGGGAGACGTTTCCAGCCTTCGCTCCTCTGCCAGCGCCCTCGCTGCGCGTCCCGGGGTGCGGCGAGTGCCCCGACCTCGTCCGCCCCTTCTCCAGCCAAGCCCCCTTCGCCAACAAAGCGCCGATGAGTTGTGCTCTCAGGGGTGGAGGGAGCGTCCCCTTCCCGGGACAAAACACCTTCCCAGCCCGGGGAGCCTCCGTGCGCCCCCTAGGAGAGGGCTGCCCCCCGAGGAGCGAAAGCTTCTAGCGCCCTGTGAGTCTCAAGCGCAAACTTCCAGGGTGAGGATCCCCAGCGCGGATCCCGGGAGGGGAGCCTGCCCCGTCAGCCCCCGCACGCACAGGCTGATCCCCAGCAAACTTCCATTCCTTCGATCCGGATCGACAACGTCCCCTGGACAGAGAACCCGGACTGGAACGCTCCCCCGCCCTTACCTTCCCGTTCACACGTTAATCCGCAATGAAAAGTCTAGAGAAAGAGTCAAAAATATGTCCACGTCCTCCGCCGCCTCCTCCTCCCTCGCTCCCCGCGGCTCAGACTGCAATGCTCTCACAGACCGAGTCTCGTAATTGATTCGATGTTCGAGTCCATCCTTCCAAAACTAATCATTGCTTTAAGTAAATAGTTGTCAGGAAACGAGCCCCCCCTTCGCCCCTTCAGAATAAGAGCTGCCTTGGTCCGCTCCGCGCTGAAGCCCAGCCCCCAGCGGCTCTTACGCAGACAGGGGGGCCAGCCAGCTCCCGCCGCGGAGGGGGGCGACAAGTAGAGCCATATGGCAAGGGAATGGGGGGCGAATTTGAGAGTTTTGTACTGCGAGGAAAGGGGGGTTTCCTGCAAACCCACCGTGTTCCCAATGGCACCAGTGCGCTTCCCTCCACACGCGCTTTGGGCAGGTGAGGGCTGCCCAGGCTGGTCCCTCTCCCGGTGTCAGAGCCGGGATGAAGAGGCAGCGCTGGAAATGAATGGGAAGCTTGCTGATGCGCTGGGGCTTGGTGTAGGATGGTGGCTGGCGGGCTGGCTGAGAAGCGCCCGGCTCCCACAGACAGGCGAGGCCCTAGAGGGTAGGAATGGAGGGGCCAACGCAAGGTAACGCTGCCCGAGCCCCGCTGCTTCCAGTGGGCGCCCTCTCTTCCTAGGTGCGCTCCGCTCCCAGCGCCCCCGCAGAGCAGCGAGGCGCTTGGCAGGACATTGCCTGGCGCTTCGGAACAGGTCGCTTTCGCAGAGTCTCAGGCCAGAGCTTTGATCCCCCGCCGGGAGATACGCGTATCTCGGCGGGGTCGGCGGTCGCTATGTGCTGGAGATAAGCGAGCGTGGAGACACTGAGATGGAATCGTGGTGGGAGCTCTTCGTTTTCTGGCTGGCTCCTGCCACCAGGCCCTGTGAGCTCACCGCTGCTCGCCTCGAGAGTTATTCAGCTGTTGGGGGCGAGGGGGCACTGCAGCCCTAGGAATGGGAGCTGAGGCGCGTTTCTCCAGGGCAGGACTTGGGGCGCGCAGGGGGGAGGAGGGGCGCTGCTGCAGAGGGTGCCCTAGAGGAACTGGGGGTGAAATTGCGTCCTCGGTTTGTTCGGTCCTTTCCCTTTAGCTCACCGCTGCTCGCCTCGAGAGTTATTCAGCTGTTGGGGGCGAGGGGGCACTGCAGCCCTAGGAATGGGAGCTGAGGCGCGTTTCTCCAGGGCAGGACTTGGGGCGCGCAGGGGGGAGGAGGGGCGCTGCTGCAGAGGGTGCCCTAGAGGAACTGGGGGTGAAATTGCGTCCTCGGTTTGTTCGGTCCTTTCCCTTTCTCTCACCCTGCGTCTGTCCTTCCTAAACAAAAGAAGTTTGTTCTCAAAGTCAAGCAACGGGCTCTGGAGGGGTTTTCTCCCTCCCAAGCGAAGGAGAATTGGTCTCTGAAGCGCAAATCCCCGAAGGGACAGGGCCGCGAGAACTGTGAAAGGCAAGGAGTGTAATCCTGCTCAAGCGGAGAGCCCTCTGGCTGCCTTTGCAGGGTCCCTGGTGCTCCCACTGCCTGCAGCCTTTTGCATGTTCTCCACCAAGGCAACTTCGGCTTGGGTGAGTGCACAACCTCACTATTGCTTCCACATGTTCCTCCAGGAAATCATTGGAAGCAGCTATATGAACAGTCCCTTGTTTGGAATGCTAACAGGATACCGTAATGCTTGTAAATAAATACCAGGCTCCCATCGATCCTCAAGCAAGGAGAAAACGTATGCATCTTGGAGTGATTTTAGCTACGATCTTTCAAATGGATGGATAGAAGAAAAACAAAACCTCTAACGAAACCGATGAACCCTGTATCCTTACAACGGTTTAAATAAAAGCGAGATTTGGAATTCGAAACACCCACCCAGTCTGGGCTCCGGAATGGCAACGAACTCGCTAGTAGCTTTGCAAAATAGTTTTGTTTCCCTTGGGTTTATAGCCATAAATATCGCGTGGGGATTAAATCCCTAAAACGATAGACTGGACGTTTGATGCTGTTGTGTCCGGGCTAGAGGTGAAGGGAGAGTCACTCTTGCCAAAAGAACAGAGAAAAAGGGGGGGAAAGGACTTTTCCTTCTGGTTGCAATTACCTGTCTCATTTGAATAATGTCTTTGTTATGATCATTAGCAAACAGTCGCTAACTGCTTCCATGTGGGATACCCCTGGGCTTAGAGAAAAAAGTAAATGCCCCTCAGTAGAAAAGTTCTTTGGAGGATGATCTGGTATTCTGGGAGCTAGCATTTTATTTACTGGCTCTACCGCAGCCACCTCTAATATGAAATAAGTACTTTAGTTAGCCACAACGTGGCTAATTACAAGCCCTGGAAATCTATGGCCAGACTCCCTTTGCCTTCAGCTGAGGCTAGGTTCGGGCCCAACGAAATACCGCTTATAGTTCAGCTGATATTGACTCTGCTTCTGTCGTGTTGACATTCTCAGCCTTTTATCTCAGTCCCTGAGCCAGGCGGGCTGCCTCCTTCAGCTGGCTTACCAAAGGGAGTGCGAGATGCCCTTCCCTCCCTGTTGCTCTAAGATCCTACGGGATAGTAGAGCAGAGCCAAGCAGGGGGCCATGTGTGGTCCCAGGCTTGGGAACAGGGCGAGAAACCTCCCCCTTACAAGGCTGGGTGTTTGGTTTGGTTCTTATCTAGTGTATCTGGTTGATAGGAAGCAGCGAGCTGCACACCATATGGGCCCCAGGCCGGAGGGCTCCCTCTGCCCCTGCTACCGCCCCAGCTGCCTCTGGGCCATTTGCTGGGAACGAGAGACCACGCTGTGCTCCTGTCCTCCCCCTCTCGCCTCCGCTCCTTCGCTAGCCGCGCTCAGCCCTGCTTTGGAAACGCAGCTAAGGGTCCTGCCCTGATCACCGAGCCGTGCGGGGCGTGCAGGAGCCAGGGCTGAGGCGGCGCCCCATTGTCACATGGGTCCCACTTTGGCGAGCCAGGCTGGGGAATGGGCCTGAAGGACACCGCCTTGGGGGGAGGGGCTGGGGCGAGGGGAGGGAGAGGAGGACCCTGGACGGTTAAGAAACCCGTTTAAAACATAATTCAACATCTGGCTATTTTCACCCCCTCCCCCCTCTCCCGCCTCTAGGCACTGTGGTTCCCTGTGGCTTGGCCAGACTCGGCCTTCTGAAAGGCTGATGTATTGCAACAAGCCGTTCTCCTGAACAAGCGCCCGCCCCTCCCCACGCAAGGCCCGAGCCTTTCACAATCCTGCCTCGTTCGGACTCGGGGATAAGTGTGGGGAGTCTGCGGATCCCAGCCCGGGCTTTCGCGGGGCGAGCCAATAGATGTAACCCCTCCAGACAGGGGCAGCGGCAGCGGGGGGCGGGAAGGGGCGCTTTTTGGCTCTCTCCCCCGTGCTTCAAATGCCCCCCGCTTATGTCACAAACTCTTCCGAGGGGCATGGTGCTCTCGGGGGGACTTTCCTCCCCAGACTGTGGATGTGGCAGACAGATGGGAGCTTCGCGTCTGAAACAAAACAACTGGAGCCCAGCAGCTGACACGGCTGTTGCCTCAAAGTACATGTTTACACTTCAGCCCTGTACTTCGGCGTGTGTATACACTGCGGCGCTAACCCCGCCTGCAGGGCAGTTCGCACCCCCACCCCGGGCTTGCAGGGCCAAGAGCAGAGACAGTGGGGAGGAAGACTCCCCGTGGAGCAGGGGGCGGCCGGGGGGTGCTGTTGAAACGAGCGGCGGAGCTGCTCCTGTGCGCCGTGTATGGGGCCCCGCAGCGCTCCTGGTCCCCAGGAGAAGGAACAATTTGCTGTAAATAATGAGCCTTTCCTGCGCCTCCCTCTGGCCCCAGGGCGAGATGGGCTGCGTGTGACTAGCCGGGGCTATTAGGCAGGCGAATGGTTTGTTAGTTCGCACCCCTGACTTGCGGGGCAGCGCTGGCTGGGGGGCTGGGTGAGCCTGCTCGCCCTCCAAGCGGGCAGCGGTTTTCACGTGCTTCGCGTGTACACGGGGGGGTGGCTGGAGCGGGGCTGGAGGCCTTTGTCTCGGCTCGAGGAGGTCTGGTTTTCATTATTCTTACCCGTGTTTGAGCGTTTGCAGCATGGACTTTCTTTGAAGCGCTGTGCTGGCTGATTCCAGCCAGCCCCCTCCTCTTGCCCTACCTCTGCGGGCCGGGGGCAGCCTTCCTTGTATTTCCCACCTAACCTGGCTCATCTCCCGCAGCGCTCCGAGGTGGAGGGCTACAGGAACCCACCGGGCAAGCCCTTGTTTTGAGCGTACTCCTGTAAAACTGTGACTGGCCCACATCGGAGTCACTCGGGGCTTGTCTGGTTCGCTCCCAGCTGGGACCACAGTTACCTAAACCGAGTTGCACTCAGAAAGATGCGAAGCTAGCTCCCCTCCCGGGCTAGTCACGCCACCCCGCCGCAGCAGCGATTCGGTTCCGTTCAAGAGGGTTTCTTAGGCCATGTCTACACTATGTCTTTGACCGGCTAAGCGAAACACTCGCGTTTGGGTTGGGCGGGCGTATTGACACCCTCGCGCGCGATGCCACCTTCGCTTCAAAGCACAATCCTGGTTTGGAGCAGTTACATTCAGGGGCGCGACCCCGCCAGTCCACCCCGCCGCAGCAGCGATTCGGTTCCGTTCAAGAGGGTTTCTTAGGCCATGTCTACACTATGTCTTTGACCGGCTAAGCGAAACACTCGCGTTTGGGTTGGGCGGGCGTATTGACACCCTCGCGCGCGATGCCACCTTCGCTTCAAAGCACAATCCTGGTTTGGAGCAGTTACATTCAGGGGCGCGACCCCGCCAGTCCCAGAGAAGGGGGCTTCTCAGAGCCTCCGTTTGTCGCCACCTTTGGGGGAGGGGGCGGCAAAAGGGTTGTTATCCCTGCCAGACTAAACAACTAGCCAGCAAGTAAATCAAGCTGCAAATTCCCTCTGAGACACTACACGGGCCGCAGTGAAGACAAAAGCAGAGGAGAAAAAGAAATCCAGTCGTCATCTCTATTGAGTCTGACAAGGTTAGCCAGGCCCTCTGCTGACGCGCACACATTTACAGTTTCCCTGAGATCTTTTTTGTTCTGCCCCAACACCAGTTCCACTCAGTCTGTTTGTTCAACATAATTTGGCTTTGAATAGCAGGGATCCAGTGACACTGGAGGGGAGCCAGACAAAAGAAATCAACGGTTAGTTTCTTCCCCCCTCC